TCAATCTGTAATAAAAGACGTGAGGAAATTCTGTCTTTTTTAAAGACAAACATTTTTGAGGCGAAATACCCAAAAAGAAGTTTGTAAAAAAATATATTTCTTACGTTTTAGTTTTCAATTTAAAATAATTTATTTTAAAATAAGACGGTAGACATGTGAATAACAACCATATGTAAAAAAATCAGAAGCACATGGACATAGAAGAAGGAAGTTTGAAGAGGCGGAAATAAAAATAAAGTGCAAAATTGGTCCGTTTTTGTTACGTGTGAACTTAGTTAGCTTAGTTATTTGAATCGAAAATGGTCGGAAAATGACAGACATTTTTGCAATCACGTTATTCTAAATTTACATTTAAAATGTTGTTTAGTAATAAATGCTGTAATTTTGTTAATTTGTAGAACAAAACAATGGTTTAAAATAGTCAAAATTCATAGAAAGATGATGTACCAAACTGATTGACTATACAGGGTGTCTCATCAATAAGTAGCATAAATTAAGGGGTAAGCTGACTTTACTTTACTTTACACCTTGTGCGTTTATGAGGTGAATCAGTTCTGGCTGTTTTTTTCCACAGCACTTTTCTCTCGAATCTTCGAATTAGTTCCTAATTTCGCACCGTAAGAGTTCAGGTTTCGCAGCCGTACATTAGCACTGGTCATGGTCTGGTAAGTCTTGATTTTCGTTCTCCTAGTCACGTATTTGGACTCTAATATATCCTTTAGGGCGTATAAGCACCTGTTGGTTGACTTTAGGCGTTCTCTAATTTATTCACTTATGTTGTATATGTCCATATCTCGTCGACATATGCTAGCAGGTAGTTGGATTCAGTGGCACCGAAGTTGAGTTTCGATTTTGGCTTCTCTTACTACTTTCCCCAATGCGATATAAAGAAACCTCAACACAAGCTCTGGTTATTCTGGTCCAGTAGTAGCTTCAGTAGGTCAACATTGTATGTTATATTTTGACCCTTTTTACGCTGTCTTATGCCTGCTGAAAGTCGATAAATAACTCGTGGAGGGTCTTGATTGAATTTCCAGGTAATTTCTAGCAATTTCCTAATGGTAAACATCACCTTTTGTCAGCTATTAGATCTCCATTCTCCTTCTTTAATATTTTATCGGTCTTGGGCCTAAATTCTGCTTTTGTAGAACGTAATGTTTGGCAGACTGTTATTGTGTTATTTTTACGTTCCTCTTCTATTATAATTATCTTGCCATTCTCTTGTTTTTCTTCTCAACAGTTTCAAGTTGACAGTTAACAATTTTAAGTTGACCTTAACCCTATATGAAAATAACTCCAAATATACTTAGGTCCGCAAAAGCTTCCTTTTAGTTTGTGAAATACACGACATAAAACTTTACTTTAAAAAGTACAAAATTATAAACTTGCAAAAAACTGCAAAATGGTTATAGGTACCGGGTGTCAATTTGAAAACTTCCCACCCTTAATATCTTTCTTGCAGTTTAAAATATGAAAAATCGGAAAGATCCGTAAATTTTATTTGTAAGGAGGACACTTTAAATGAATACTTCTAGCCTCCTTGTTTCAACCCCTTAGGACGGGTTGATGTAAATCTTAGAATCTTAAATGGGAAGGGGGGGCAAATGGCACATTGTTTTAAAGCGCGTTCAATTCTCTTTACATTAGTTACTACTTTGTTACTACTTTTTATTCAGAGGTTTTCGAATAATCGCGTTTCAAAATAACAGAAACGATTAAACTTGCCTGCATTGAAATTTTGATTTTCAGATTAGTGTTTAAGGAAAAATTATGTCATTGGGTCTCATTATAGTACAAATGATTAGAAGGTTCGGTTCCACCGTTAAAATCCTCGAACAAAAGGAAGAAAATGTAGTTTAGACAATTGATTTCGGATTTATTGATTATTTTTTATCGATAAAAATCACTTTTTATTTACGGGATTTAAGAGAAATTTCTACAATAAAATCCTTGGGACCTACTACGCACTATCTTGTGAGTTGTTCAAAATGTTCTATATTTTAGTGTAAACAATAATGGTCTATTTTCGAACCCCCCTAACATTGATAAAATATTCCCGGATAGACGGATATTCCCGGATAGATAGAGAAGGAAACCAATTGAATGGCTTCCAAGATCACCGGATTGAATACCCTTAGACTACTTTCTTTGAGGACATCTTAAGTCAATTGTTCATAAAATACAACCTGCTGATATTGATGGTCTTAAATGGCGAATTGCAGCAGAATGCCGGTCAATTCCCGGTGAAGTTTTCCGAAATGTTAGGGAATAGTTCAAAAACATCCCTTATTATTGTTTACAGAACAATTGACAACACTTGAACAACTAATAAGATAATGTGCGTAAGCAGATGACATCGGTTTTATTGTAGAAATTTCTCTTCCGCAAATAAAAAGTTATTATTTAAACCAATATCTGAATGCACGCAAGTTTAAATGTTTCTACAACTTTGAAACGCGATTATTCGGAAACCTTTCTAGAAAATGCAAGAATTTATTTTATTTATTTATTTAGGGGGTTGAAACAAAGAGGTTAAAAATGTTAATTTAAAGTGTCCCCCTTACATATAAAATTGACAGGTCTCCGATTTTTCAAATTTTAAATTGAAAGAAATATATTAAGGGTGGGAAGTTTTCAAATTGACACCATCTATAAATTTTAATGGAATCTTGCAAGTAGTGAAGGAAGGAATATGTGCTTGTTGTCACTCATTTTATTTCTTTAATTTTTATCAGTGGCGTGCCTACCAGTATTTTATTAGATATTTTTGAAGTAAAAAGTAGTACGCTACGTTTCCTAATGAATAAAAAGGTCATCTTAATTGATTGTTCAATACTGAAAAAAACCCTCTTTTATTTATGTCGTGTGACCAACCGTTTTCCAGAAAAAAAACATTTTTATATTGAAATTGATCTAGGAGCAAGCTGCAAAATACTTTATTGGCGCTGCTAAATAGGGTTCAGAAGTGTATTCGTCAATGGCAATAATTTTCAGTAACTATTATAGACATTAGGTCCTATATAAATGTATGTAATTCTTAAAATGGACTGTTTAATTGTTTTTTTATTATTGATTCATAATGTGTCCGTCAACAAACTGTTTTTTTACCGGAAAAAATGGTCGTAAAAAGTAAAAAAAAGCACTTCCTACAACCTTCACTGCCCACAAACTTTCATTAAGATTTATCAAACTGTTCTGCAGAAATTTACAATTTTGTATTTTTTGAAGTAAAGTCTTTTGGAAACGAAGCTGCTCATACGGACTTATGTGTATTTGGAATGTTTGCATATTTGGCCAAGGTTTATTTTCCTTTAAATCCACGATCCTTTTTTTGAGACACCCTGTACTTTGCTTTAAGTAAAACGGTAACGGATAAGGTGTTTAAAAAAATGATATTCACTTTTTTTTGGTGATTTCCTCATTTTTTGTAATGGAAAATAACGACTCAATATTCCATTCAGTTTCTAATAACAAATGCCGTAATTTCGTGAAAAGTTTGAAAGCGCAAAACGATATTTTTGTTTGGAGACGGACATGGTTTTGGGCTCGCTACTTTTCTCATTTTTGGTCATAGAGACTGGCAATTTTTGTCATGAAGCAGTTTCTAGTCGTAAAAGCTATAATTTTGTTACTTTTCAATAAAAAACAATGACTTGAAGAAGCAAATGGTCACAGAAAAACTCAAACAAAAACTGCCATATTTCATGGCTCGATATTTTTTTCATCGTCTGATATGAAAAATAAAGAATCAACATTCCTTACGCCACGAAATAAGAGCCAAACACTGTAGACGCTGGAAACTAAAATAACTTTTTAAATCGGATAATTGGCATAAAAGTTACAATACTTTGAACTTTACCAAAAAATCTGCTGCACAACTTTTTTTGAACACATACAAAGTACTTTTTAGAAACTCCCAGATTTTCAGTTACTTTCATTTAAAGATATGGTTAAATTAGACATAAAAATTAAATGGGGTCAATCGATAGAAACAATAAATTAATACCACTTTCCAAAAGTTTTCAATTATTTAATTTCAGCATTACTTCCAGAATAAAAGTTTGACGCTCTTGCTGTCGCTTCTTTGCTGAAATAAAGCAGATTGTCTGGTTCCAATTTGGATCTAAATTTACAATAAAATGCAATGTTTTTCTGAGTTTATCTACCAAGGTATCCAGTATCAGCTATAGATTCTCGACTATTTTGCTTCATATGCCCCGTCAAAAAAAGAAAACAAAAAAATTTGAAAGATAATAAATAGTAACTCAAATCAAAGTCACATTCAAAAGCTATAAAATCAAAGTGAAATTTTAAGCAAAAATACCCCAGATATCTGTATTGGTTTTACATACGCTTTACATAAATCGTCTAAAGTTTTGCTAACATTTCCATATGAAAGCACCGACTCCATAAAGTAAATAAGGTTGCATGAGAGCCCTCATCAAAACATATCGGTATAAAATGAAATCCATTTCATAAATGGATGGCAAAGCTACACTTAAAACATCTACCACTTTATCTTTTCAAAAGACGTAATGGCTTGCCAGTAATCATGTTTGCTTGTCTAAAATGTTACCCCCGATTTAACTGAGATATATAAAAGAACAGCTAAGACACAAAGCGTATTATCTTCTAACAGCTAACACACTTATAAGTTTCGCACTGTTCATTAGATGTTTTGCATATCGGAACAATGGAATATGGTTAGTTAAAGCAATTTCAGTCAGTCGGTCGGTGTCTTGGGGTCTTTGACAATGAAAAGTTTGCGCAAATAATCAGTGTTTTAGTTCTAAAGCGGAAATTTTCCCGTTTTTTATGAATAGGTGGTAGATTCTTGATAGCATTTTTAGATGATGCTTGAAGAATTTTATACTTCAGTAAGAATACTAAATTAAAGAACCGAAGAAGTGTGACAGGTTTAGTTTTGTGGAAAAGAAAAAGTTGCTACAATATTATCTTGTACAGGGCTAATCATTGAAAAAGGACCGCTCCTATAACTTTGTTATTTTGAAAGATGGTGATTTTTATACCAGTTTGTAGAAAACGTTCTAATTTTTTAATGAAAAAAAAATTAAGGAAAATCTTGTATACCCTCTACGAGAAACACGTATCATATCAGTCAATTTAGAAGAAAATTATTTTAGATTTGAGTTTAACGTTTACAAATACTTAGTAGATTTGTTATAATATACTTCAATAATCAACGTTCAAAATTACAATCTAACCATCAACGGGTAACTTCTGGCTAATTAATAAATGACTCGTACTCAAAATCAGACTGTAAAGAACAACTGAAACTCACCTTTGCAACTGTAGCTGCTCAATGAAGTAGTCCGAGTAGGCAAAGAGGCGAGTCTGCCTCTACAATGAGGGCACGAGTCTGCACTGTTTTGCTCCATCCTGGCCCAACGAGCCGCCACTGGAGGAGGCAGCGGTGGAGGCGGTGGAGATGGACTAGCTGAAGGACTTGACCAACAGGGTTGGTCCACCATGTGGCATTGGCTTCCAGTGCCACTCATTTTTGATGGCATCTGAAAAAGATCAGATGAGTGAAATAGCTGAACTGTTCTTAATCCCACACAAAGTCGATAAAATGGTTAGCAATCTGATGCAACATTCTAGCACGGAGCAAATAGCGTAGAGACATTTTTAGATAGTTTGCAAATACTTTAAGCTAAATTTAATGGCTTTTGGAGCAAATTAATGTAAGTTTTAAAATTCCAAGGCAAAAGCGCTACTAATCTACCATAATAGCGCACTGAGGGATTAAGCGTTCTAAAGGCTATTATTTTTAAAACCTGTGTATAACTGCCTTAACAGGATTATAAGGGGCTTTATTTGTGGGTAGTTGCGATGTGTTTTGTTGCTTTTTGATTGTTCCGTTTTCAGCTGCATGCTTAAACGAGTTAGACATAAAATAAATCAACAGCAAATGGTATGTGAATTATTGTGTCATTATATATATATAATATAATTTATTGCAGTGATATAATCCCTCCAGGCTATTTCAGCTCGTCAAAAATTCTCATCCAGCTTTAATGAACAAAGAGATAGAATCATGGAGAAAAGTTAAATAAATATTTAATGAGGATCAGAATATTAGATTATGGAATGAAACCGTCTGCTTTAACGGAGCGCAATTGGTGTGAATCTGCAAGGAAAATACGCCATAAGTAATAATGATTTAAAGCTTGCCGCCCACGCTAAGAGCATGACTTAGTTATGAAAGCCACTGAATAAAATGTAATTCTGTCTGATTTTTTTCCCAAAATAACTGAATCATCAATAGCCCTTGCAAAATCGCGGTTTTTGAAGTAGGTACCATTGGCTACCTCCTGTCCTGGAAAACTCACTTAAAAGCATTATTTACACATCAGTTGTGCGAAAAATGTGCACATATTGATAATATTTTTGGTGAATTTTTAAAGGGGGGATAACAAGTCGATTACGAAGCAAAGTATGGTCGATTGTATCGGTATATAAAACAAAATTAATTGCGCCACTAGAAGATCTACAACAAAATAATCTGAATTATTTTCTAAATATGACCCATAATCTACGAAGTCAAAAATGTTAATTATACGATAAATGAGTACGTCTCAAAAATCTAAAAAGTAACTAAACATTTTGAAGTAATATCCGGAATTTTTTAAAAATTACAGAAATTGTGATTGAATTAGAATATGAAATTATAATTTTACGGAGAGATTTAATCTTACAAGACCGAAAATTTTAAGAACACATTTGGAAATGTTAACCGAGAAAAATATTCCAGCATAAGAAATGTATCCAATATATCTAATTATCCTACTTTTGGATCTTCATACCTATGTGAATCGATATTTTCATTTGAAACGAAGAAATATTAAACAATGTTTTGTCCTGACTAATTATTATTGTCTTTGTCATGATATGCACCTAATTACGGTTTTTTTCTATGTCAAAATAACTTTATCGGTAATGTTCGACGCGCCCTCGCTACATCACTTTGTACATATTTGGCTTATACACTTAGTTACCTTTATAGCGCCTTCGTTCTCAATTTATTCAATCAAAGTGATGCAGTCAAATTTGCAGAAAATTGAAAGGCAAGCTTTAAAAAGCAAAATCTAGTACGTTAGATAATCATTTTAGATCGCCGTAAACTCGCACTTTCGAAGCCAAATATAGCCAGCGAATATGTTGTAAATGAAGTTCGACGGGGTTTTTTTGAAATGCAAATTCACGGTAATGATATGAAGTGATTGAGTTGATCTATGCCATGGAATATGCCATTAAACAGGAATTTCCAAGGAGTTGCGTTATACATTTTATTGAGTTATCAGAAATATTAACTATTTTTGGTTGATTGTGTTAAACATCTCGTTTTCAAAATGCATCAACTGAAGCTTTCTTATATGTTCTAATCAGCTATTTCGGACTTTAATTTAGAATTGCACTCATTCTTGACTTATTTCTTTGTTTCCATGTAGTCCGTGTAACTTATTTCGCAAAGCGCATATTTCTCTTTAATTTCCAATCACAATTACCGCATCAGTTGTATTCATTTGCGTAATTTTCCTGCATTTATGTTTAAGTCTTATCGCAAAAATTCATTTCTCTCATTCGTTGCTTTTACCATTAATATGGAATATATTTTGAGAAGCATTTAAGCTGACCTTTGTTCTCAAAGAACTCCATACAAAAAAATCGAAGAAATATTTTCGATTTGGTCGCAATAAAAATAAATACAATTTTGGTAGATAGAACGCGATAAATTAGAAAACATTTCACGTATCTTAATCCAGTTTATAAGTATTCATTGAATAACACCGCGTGGTTTTTAACAAAATTTAGATAAAAAAATTTAACTTTAGCCATCAATTCGCCATAGCATCATTAAAATACATGTTTTTGAATTTAACTCTACCAATTCGTCTTGTTTTCAGTTTCATTGCTAAGAAAAAGAATAGAAAATTAATTGAATCTTTAAAAGGGTTCCTTCCTTTGGACGGATACGTCTGCCCCAGAAACGACCCATAGCGCCATTATTTTCAGACTAACTTAATTTACAAACGCAGAAAATTAACGGATTATTAAAAACATTTTCATTCGTATCTTTTAAATTATATTCTTTCTTTCCTGGGTTTCAGTGAAGTAAAAATGTCCATATCATTTATTTCATATTACGTTTCGGCGAGACAACAGCGCCATCATCAGATTAAAATTCGAAATAAACCCATAATTGGGAAACATCCCATTGAAATAAATAGAAGTTGCCAAACCTGATTGAAAAACTTAACAATATTTCTCAATACAAATTAAATTATTTTTATAAAATATACAACCTAAGGAAAAACGTGAACGATAAGAAAAGCAAAAGCTAATGGAATTAAAAACTTCCTAACTTTTAACTAGTGCTCGCTAAGTTCCCTGAAGCTTTCTGTAAAGCTCCCTAAAGCGATTCCTGCATTAAATTTTCTTGTAAATAAATTCCATTTAAAACGCAAATAAGCCTGATTGCAATTTCAATACAGCTGTTTAATGGATTTTATTTTACTTTGAACGTTCAAAAAAGCAAAAAAGATTTGTATACTGTAATGAGAGCAGGGCGGCTCATTCATCAAGTTAAAAACCCCAATTTGATCTTTAACTTTTGACTGATTACGGCATTAATTAATTAAATAACCAGCTAAAGTTCAACTTTTTGTCAATTTCGGCTACAAGTTGTACTACAAACTGTAGCACAACACACTATGCATAATTGTGTGGAATATTTAATACGTGAGTTTCTTTTCCTCTGGAATATTGAATATCTATTTTTATTATATATAAATTCCATTAAGATCAATATAAATGTAAATATTGCAGCCTAAAGGTATTTTGACCAAACTTTCATTATAATATTTTCAGTTTAGATTTGCCAAATTTTTACTAGCTACGGATTGAAGTTTATTAGCAGAATCCGTTTATAGAATTATATTTCTTTACAAGAACACAAAATAAATAAAACAGAGGCTCTAAATAATGTTTTATTAATTCAAATTCTATTTGAAAAATGAGTATATAAATATCGAAAACTGGTTGTTTCAGATTCTTCCTGGCCCATTTATTAAAATAAATGTAAAGCTTCTATCTCTAATTTATGGAAAGTATCAGTGTTTGAGAAATTACAAACTAATCAGTTTCCATCCGCTTGAGTGCAAATGTTCAAAATTATCCCAATCCCAAAAAATATATTTTTCCATATATGAAATTAATTTTCATAAACACCTTTTTCCATGTAGGTTTCTGATCATTTTTCTGTTAATTACTTTATTTATATTTTTAAATTAGAGAATGTAGATGTTAGTAGCATATAGCGTCTATTTTCTGGCAACATTTGTGAATCGCCTTGGATGCATTTTCAAAAATTTTAAAAATCTAAAACAAAAGAACTAAATAGCATGAAATTATGAAAGTAGTGTAGTAAATATGGTTTTGAAAATTCATAAGAAAGTAAGAAATATTGCTATTTTCTTGTAAAGAAATTATAAGCAAAATTGTTATTACATGAGCCCATATTTAAGTCCTGGAACAATATAAAAATGGCTAAACTCTATTTTGAAAATAAAATGATAAAATGTTTAAAACAACCTCTATCACTCTGTATATCCTAAATACTTTCAACTTAGTAATAAAATAAAATGGTAATATATATTTCCTAATATATTCCTACCTAAAGTCGTTTCACTGGTTTGCAAGTACGCTGGTTCAGGCAATAAAATGTAATTTTATTAGGATTTAACAATTCTCAAAGTGATAAACTTTGCAACGCAAACATGTACTTTTATTCCTGATTTTACTTTAGACCGGGAAAATATGCTAAAATTTGGAGAAGTAATAAGGTAATAGAATTCATGAGTTTTCCCGATACCAAGGCGGTGCTCTCGAAGAACTGTTTATTTAGAATCTGCATATTGTCGTATTAAGATGCTTTGTATTCGGTTAACATATTTTTGCCCGTTAGGAAATATTGTGAACAATCAAAACAATGTCAGTGTTCAGTTCAACTGAATTTCTATCATGTAAAGCTTACCCTAACATTTTCTTGGCTTCAATAATGATAAAATGCAAATGTAAGGAGAAAACCCAGTATTTTTCTGCAGTTGCTTGGTCTATATTTCACTATTTCTATTTCACAAAATAAAAATCACTATTTTCTCAGTTTGGTCAGGTTTTGCTTAGTTAATTAAAGCAACTACGAGATGACTTATGCATTTCTAATGCTGTTGTTGCTAACAGGATTAGCAATATCCAACCAGGTATGCACAAAAATTAAAATTTGTTCTTTCCTTCTAAATCATTAAAAATTATGTTAAAAGTTTCAGCATTTGAGTGAATTGGTGCCGACAAATGCTGAAAATCTTCCCTTTCTTGCAGTTCTTTATCTTGCCAAGTCAAATAACTATTCTGTTGGTGTTGTTATTAGCAATAAGTACGTGCTGGCTTCAACGAATCCATCTGCAGAGTACGTATTTAACATAAAATGTTTAAACTATTCTTTCTAAGACATTGATCTGTTCTGCAGTTATTCAGCTGTAACTGTATATCTAGGATTTGCTCATAGCCCAGCTGACAACAAAAACTATCATTATTCCAAGGGATGTCGAATTATTGAAGCCAAAAGTGTTTTATGGGAGGAAGATGTCGGATTAGTAAAATCAACTGGTTCTCATATAAGCGAACTGGTTCTAATCGAGCTTGAAGTTCCAGTAGATTTTTCCGATACAATCCAACCTGTTGTTTTGCCTGCCAGAAACGATTTTACTCTACAAACAGGTGCAAGCTTAAATCTCACAAAGTTTAATCTCGAGTCAGCTAATGGCACGCCAGAGTTTGCGATAGTTCAACTGCGAACTCTGCAAAAATGCAAGTTGTTTTTCGGCAGTACTTTTGAGGAAACTGAAGAGTTCTGTATAAGAACGGCCTCTTCAGTTCGACCAGCTCTCGATGAATTTCAGTTCAGTCATCTTCCGATCATGTTGGGTAAGCAACTGATAGGACTAGGTCGTACTAGTTTAACTCCTGCTATATGTGAAGTTACCAGTAAGAGCTGTAGTAGGCATCAAGTGTACAGAAATTTAGGACCTGTTGTGGATTGGATCTATGAAAACTCTGATATCGTGGTTAATGATTTTGAAAATTGAGCAGAAAGCTGATGTGTTTTACTGCTAAGGGGTGGTTTCTGAAATTTTTCTGTTACTCGCGTAATTACTGGGTCTCAACCATACATTTTTTGATTTTCTGGTGCTGGTATTTCTAAAATTCGTTCTTATTTTAGAAATTTATATTATTTACAAATTAATACAGAAAAAGCTTGACGTTCAATTTGTATAGTTGTAAAATTTAGTTAATAATGTATACGTTATATTTTTGGTCATTAAGCAAAAGTGTGTATTCTAACTATAAACGTGGGAAAAAACCGATTCAAGTACAGTTTCAGTTACCTTCCAACCCTGCTATGAGATGATTTTAACGTGTCATACAATTTTTTAAAAAAGTTAAGAAGTGTGGATTTATTTTGTTGATATTTAAAATAATAAATTGAAGGAAAAATACATTTCTCCAAAAAAAGAGCTTTTTACGCAGAGCTTTAACCACTCCTTGGCACTGTTTGGGTTCATTTGAACAAAACCTTAAGGCACATTTTTATGTAGAATTAATTTCATTGCTTCGAACTAATGTAGCCTAAAATGGGCATTTTTTGAGCTGATCGGCCCATCCATTTGAGCGATTTTTCACATTTTGTGTTTTATTCAAGTATTCGTTACACCAATTAAACTTTTGCATTTTCAATTTCAATTCAAAATTTAATAAAAATGCACGTTACATTTACAAATTCCACGTCAAATAGTACCCAATTATTTTTTCACATAAAGTATTAATTAATGTCAGAAGTAAATTTGGGAAGTATTTTATAGTATATAAAAATCACCCTGGATTTCTCAAACGGTAGGAGTTATAGGCATAAAAATGAAATACGAGGCTCATGATTCAGGCTTTTGTGGAAATGAGACTCAAGCCCTTAGTTTCCAAGTGTCAAATTTTGCCCATTGTGTACACGTTATTAACATATTCCTTTCATTAAAATTGTAGAAATTATTGAGAGAGCAAAAGAAATTATAAATAAATGCAGAAAAAAGTTTAGGTAGGTAGTTTTTAAATAATGATATTTCCGTCCCGTCCGGAAGGCCTAAGAATTATATTTTATCTGTTTTTTTCAAGTTTATGCGCGTAAATTTGATTACGAAATTTACAAAATGAGGAACACTTGAAGATTGATTTCTGCATTACAACAATTAAGCCAGTTTAGTTCTGGTAATATTCAACTAAATCTGTCATAGTTTGAGCCGTTGTTGGTGCACTTTAGAGACGTTTTGTATTTTTTGTTTTTATGCTTCTTAAATGATTTAATTAGTATCAATTTGAGGAACTCAAATATAAGAAATACAAACAAACCAAGTTAAATAAAATAATTATGCCACTAAGATGAATTAGTTGCGTGAAGTCATCTCAATTTTACAACGAATGATTGGAGATTTTCTTGCTATTTTTATTTGTATTGCACCTACCGATTTTACTGCATATACAATATAACTCACGTCCTCAAGATATAAAATGTGAGAACGGTTGCTCTTGCAGGTGGCTGTGTGGACATCTTTTTGCTGCATATTTCTAAGCACGTAGTGGTGCTGACCTAAATCATTATTTTTCTGCTGTTGTACTTTAGATGTCGAAATCCAGAGAAAGAGAAGTGACAGTGTTGACCCAAGCATATCAATGGCTTTTACTGAAAAGAACCGATATAAAACATTGAGTGCTCTATAAGAGGAAACTGAATACCTCTATCTCGAATATGAAGTAATTAAAATTACATGACAAATTCAACACTTTTTCAAACTTTACATAATTTTTAGCTTCGTTTTGCTGCTAATGATGAGGTTCATCCTGATCTGAATGTAAGAGAAAAAATTGAATTTGAGTTAATTCTATAAAATGATTTACGATGACAAGTTTAAGTGCAATTAATCCAAATTTTGCCTAAAATGATTCAGAATATTAAAACCTTATTAAGCATTACTATCTGCACTATTTGATATTGCAAAATGTAGATATTTTCTAATTTTACTTATAAATTAAATTATTAATATTTTTACACGTAATTTTTAAAATTAAATTGCCTATTGAATTAGGTGAAAATATGGAGTGGTGTAAGTGAGAAGTGGAAGATTATAGGGATCGGTCTATTGTGTATATTTTTCCAACATCTTGCAATTTTCAAAGTTTCTCAAAATTTATATCGATCAACGGTGAATGATTTAAATTAAACAAACTAATGATACTGTTACGAAGCTTTGATTATAGGAAATGTACGTTACGAAGAATCTTTATCCACAATTGGGATTAGTGTTTGGAACCCCTAAGATTGTAGCAATTACTTTCTTAAAAACTTAAAAATCCCGGAAATAACGGTATTCTGAAAGTCTAATTAAAAATTCATTTTTATTAACTACAATATAATACACTTGAACGTAGAATGCAATCAAATTTTAAATATCTAGGTTTTTCTACGGAAATTTTATGCGTATTTTTTTATTAGATAAATCAAGCTTCTTATAGATTATTTAACAGTAATAATATTTTGAACTAGTTTCAATGTACTAGAAATGTTTAGCTGTCAAATTAGGACTTTAAAGATTTGAACCATTTTTGTAAATTCCTGCCGATAATAGTTATATTTGCCAGTCCTAAATTTCTTCGATATCCAGTATTAATAATAACGGCTTATTGAAACTTACACTTGAAAATGTAACGTGAAAGACTCTGCTAAAGAAAGAACAGTAGGACGGTCAATTTTGAAGAAGAGATTCTTAACCGACTTGCAAAATGAATCTTTGATTCGAAGTCATAAAATTGCAGATTTGACTCGAGCCGATTATCGATCGATTTTGTGGCAGCTTCATCAGCTTGTGGGGCTACACAGTTTTTCACGTTTTCTTCCATGGTAAGATAAAACCAGTTTCAGATTGGATCGCATATTCTACAGTAGGACTAATATCAGCTTTAAGGTCTTGGGAATAATGTGCAAAATGTCTTGGATTTCACACATGCTGATCTTAAAGCTTCATAAGGCAGTAGCGCTTTAGAAACACATTTCTGGCCATTGGATTTATACTCAGTTGTCTTTCATTATTTCACTGAACTGTGTAAATCACCCAGCATAATTAAAATTAATGCGACATTTTTTGGGTGAAAAATATATACCGAAAAGTATTAACGTATTTATAGCATTTTCACCTACAGCTGCTCTTGAACTAATGAGCAAACAAAATGACTCCAATTGGAATTGAAACCAATGTTTGCTAAAATATTGAGCACATTCTACAATTATTTTAACGGGTTTGGTTTAATCTGCAAATTTATGTACTCTGAATTAAATTGTAAATTTAAATTAAAGCTGTAACGAAGCTGAATTTTTCTGCGGCATAATTCTTATTCCAAGAAGCAACAGCTCTGGCCATTGGAGCACAAATAACAAATTACTTTCGGAAAAGTTTTCTCCCAACTGTTCCGATTTGAATAGTCGAAAACGGATAGCCAATGCTGGTTGAACTTTGTGAACGCGGGCAAAGGAACAATATTGATATTGGGGAGTTAACTGGCGGTCAATATTCTACAGTGAATCCATATTTACTTTTGAAGCTATTCTAGCATTTCCGCTCCAGTTCAAATTCTACCTGAAAGAAGAGAAATATTGACAATTAATCTGGCTTATTGTACTAATACCTCTAGAAACACTGATAAAAGTACGAAAATATCCACTCGACTTTCATTCATTTCGTGTTATGAAATTCCCAGCAAAATACAGAACTCCAGTTGAAGTTGAGTTTTAATGAACAACCGAATTATTTTTCTCGCTTGCTTTTCTGGAAAATGGGATCCGTAATTTTATGTTTCAGTTGAATTGATGGTATAGCGGTATAAACAACGTGGATGCTTTAATTTAATTGGACCGCAGTTTTTCCACATGTTCACCAGCTTTTCACTTAACAGTTGAGATAATTTGCAGTTTCATTAATGTAGTGAAATTCGTCTGTTCCCTGTAAACAACAATGATCTTTTTTGAACACTTTTGCAGGAATCTATCAAACATTTCGAAATAAATCTAACTAAGAGTGACTAGCTGCATTTGCTCTGTAAACTTTAGATTCTTGATGCCAACTTTTCTAAATAAATCATTCCAGTAAATGACTGGATATTTTCAAGTCTTACAAATTTAGCAACCAACTTCTCATGTGCTTGCTTTTTATAAAATATCTGCTTTGTATGTGTGTCAAAAACATTTGGTTCACTTTTCCCAATTACTCCGTAGGTACGTGATGTCACGTAGACACACAACATAAATTTGAAAAGTTCCGGAAAATATTCCTTATGCTTATTGCATAAAATTTATCCCGTATTTCATATTGCTTTCTTTAAATGAGAGCGGAAGAATTCCGGCAGCTCTATTTTTCTCACAATTAAATCGCGCGATGCAGTTGATAGCTAATATGTCGATTTTGTGACCTAGTGCAGGAAATATTGATGAATAAAGGATAAAAAAATAATTTTAGTACTTTATACAGCCATATACAGAGTAGAAAATGAATGAACAGGTTAACTGAGTATCAGAATAATAAATATTTCTACATTAATCGCAAAATTTCAGCAGTCTATCTGGCTCATCTTCAAGTAGCTCTTGAAAACCTATTCCATTGCCAGCTAGTGAATATATTCCAGTAAAAATTCTCACTGTCTTCATAATAACTTCTTCTTCAGTTGTACATGTTGAATATTTGTTTTGTGTTTAAGGAACGAAAAAAGCTGATAATTTTGTGTTACGTAACTCAAATTGCATATTTACATTTTTGACTAATTTAAAATATTTATCAATGTTTTCATTCAATTTCATTATATATCAATGTGGGTGTCAATTTGAAAACTAC